TATTATAATATTTAATTTTTATTTAATTTTTTTATAGTTGTTACGATTGTTGTTTCGCACACGTACACACAGAAAAAAAAAATCGCAAAAAAATTATTATTATGATGCATAAATAAATCAACGTTCACGTAACAACAAAAACACAACCATCTTCGTTTACGTCTTGCTGCCTACTGACGTTAACTCTTACGCCGTCAAACTAGCAATGAGAACGCATGGACAACAAACCCAATCAGAATGCTTGTTTATCGGCCATGTTCTCGTTTACGGCAACGCACAGTGGTGTGCATTGCTTACAATGCTCGCCGCTAGTTAACTGTTGGTAATTGCTTAGCAATAACAAGTGTTTTGGCTAAGTATTCAAAATGCAATCATAATTTAAGTAATTGATTGCGTTTTTGCCTCTTATCAACTGAACAAAATGTAATTTAGTTAGGCTAAGGACACTAGCGAAAGGCGGAACATCCTGCATTACAGCTGTTAGAGGATAATAACATCTGTTCGCCTTAACACACACTGTTACTGTTAACTTAACAGTCAGGCACTCAGCGGAGAGCCAGGCTCAGCGGCACGCTCTCTCTAATTGATGCTGAGAGTCCTTTCGAAAGTGCTGCCTATTTTTAGCGCTCGTATAACACTTTTTGAATGCACTCTTTTTGACAAGATGTATAAATATGAAGACACATAGAATCTATAACCAAAAATCGTACGTTCATTTAAAATGAAATTTGAATAGCATTTGTGTTGTCATATATTATTTTGGTTTTAAAAAATAATATTTTTTTAAGATTTTCTTTAAATGTCTTTGCCAACTCACGCGCATTTCTTATTTGAATTGCTGTTTATTGAGAAGTTACGCTCTTTTGCAGCCCTAGACAAGAATTGCTCCAATTAGAGTATTTAGAGAGTATTTAAATACTTAGCCATGTTTTTTTTTTTTTTATCAAATCAGCTGCTTTGAAATTTTGACTAGACTAATACCTCTTTATAATCAAATGAAATTTAGTATTTATTTACAAATTTCGTCAAATACATTTTATGTTTATATCTCTTTCATTGTTGTTTTTAAGCAATAAAGAGTAAATGTAACTGTTTATATGTAGATATGTGATAGTGGGAGGTAAATGCTCCTTTCTGCGCAAAAGCGCATTAAGAGCAGCGCATTCTTGAGATTCTCAGCGATAACAATCGCATTGAGACTAAACAACATTTATTTAGCTGCTCTATTTGCCTCACGTTTTTCGTTCATACGATTGAAGTACATTACAATATAAATGTAGCTCAATTCAAACTATTATTCAAATTATTACATATGATGGTTTTCAAAATATACGTTTTTATCGATAATAATTAATGTAAAATAATTTACATAAAATTAAAATGTTTTCTTACGATTTCCTTGCATTTAGCACCTAAGACTAGAATTAAACAAAAAAAAAATATAAAAAAAATATATATATATTGCAAGCATTATTTTAGCAACGAATATTTGCTCGAGGCAAACTAGACAAAGTAAAAATAACAATTAAATTCAAATTGCGCGATAAGTTGCAATGACATATCGATAGTAAGCAGCCATCAGCGAATATCGCTGCAATCGATTGTATCGGCCAAAGGCTTACAGCTCTATTCACTGCGAACGCGTTTCGAGCAATAGCAACAGCAACGACGACAGCGCCACAACAACACAACACAAATCAATTTTGTGTACAAGTGTGCAAAAATATTATAAAATAACTAATACGAAGACACGAAATAAGCCTTGGCTTAAAGCAACAGCCAAAATTTATAAAAGAAAAAGCAAATATTTTTTGTTATTGTTCGAGCTCTTTTTTTGTTATTGTGTGTTTGTAGTTGGCTGCACGGGCAGCAGCAGCAGCAGTAGAAAAACGCAGAAAAAAGTGAAATCGATTAAAAGCGCAATAGGCAGCAGCAGCAGCAGCAATAATAACAACAACAGCACTTGATGGAAAACAAATACAAATCCGTGGAGTAAAGTTAAAAGTAAAAGAAAATAAGAACGCAACAGAGATTTAATTTTAATGTCGCAGTAAATTTGTGTGCTAGCAAGAAGCAGCAGCAACAGCAAAAACCAACAACAACAACATACCAGCAGCAGCTGAGGCAGAAGCTGAATCGAAAACAGAAAACAAAAAACGAATACGAACAGCAAAGAACGTACGACGCAGACGTCGCAGCCAGCAGCCTCTCCGCTGTGTGCGTGTGTGTGCCTGTGAGTGGTGGTGAGCGTGGGTGCGAGCGAGGCAGCAGCAGCAATAGCAACAACAAAACAGAGCAGCAGCGACGACTGCGACGTCAACAGCAACAGTAGCGACGGCTGTTGTCGTTCTTTTTTTTTCGTAATTCATTTTGGTTTTTTTTGACACAATTCAAACAAACTCGGAGCTTTGCACTTGAAAGTTTGTTTCTAAGCTCGACTTTGTGTTTGCAGCTGCAGCGTGAGTGAGTGTATGTGCGTCTGCCTTTGTGTGGGCGTCAACAGTCGCTAGCAGTGGAGAGTTCAAAGAAGAACGCAAGACGCAGTTTGTTTGTTGCCAGCCAAAATATAAAAACTAAATCAAATTACTGTTGCTGCTGCTGCCGACTGTAACAACTACAACGAAACAACTTTAACAGCAAATAGCTCAAACACACAACAACAAAAACAACAGCAACAATAATAACAAAGCAAAGAAGACGAAAGCTACGCAGCAATAGAAACGACAACAGCTGAAAACATATGATTTTTGTTTGTGTTGCTTTTGTTTTTGTACGCTGTACTCAGCTTCTTCCACTGTGTCCTCAGTCGTAAGCAGCGAAAACACGAAAGAAAAAGTTGAGCAGCGGAACGTGCGGAACTGGAACGAGCAGGCTCGCATTGTTGTTGCTGCTGCTGCTGCTGTTGCTGCTGCTCCTATCCACCAATTCTCAACTGTTTCTTGACGTCGTAACAACAACGCCACCAGAAGCAGCAGCGTCAAGTGGTAAGTTTACTGTTGTTGTCGTTGTTTCTATTGTGTCTTTCTCTTCTATTTTTCATATCTTCTTTTTTTTTATTATTCTAATTTTTTTTTATTGTTTCATTATTGTTGACGCGCGAAATTAGCGAAGGAGAAAAACAAAAATTTGTATTGAAAAACAAATGTTATTTTTATGCAATTTTTTGTTGTTTATTGTTTATCTGTTGTTCGCTTTTCGAAACTCTTTCAAGTACACACAAATACACAGACGGGCATATGTGTGAGTGTATGTGTTTGCTTGTATACGTGTGGCCCACCTCTAAATTGTTACTAAAGGCATGCAAGCGACGTATGCGTGTATATTTTGCATATATATTTGCATTACTTGATTTCATAATGTTTTTGTCACATATGTATATCCGTTATATTCGTGTAAAAGCAGTGTTTTTTTTTTTATTTTTATTTTGCCTAAGTTCGCTGTGCTTTCAAAAAATATACACAAACATACGTATATACAATCGACACACTGATATACACGCAGATACGCACACACACATATATATACACATCCATATACTTATATGTATTTATATATGTATAAGCGAGCAGTGCGCGTTAGACAGACAACGGACAGCAGAGCGAAACGCAACCAAATGAAACAAACTGATAATGAAACACTTTGGCACATTGGTTAACAATGTATATATGTATAAATATATACATGTAAATATTGAATTTAATTAAATTTAAAAAAAAATCTTAATATTATCAACTGTAAAATACATTAAACTAAATATCATGGAAATAGTTAACTAAGTAATGATAGCTTGCATAGTTAGCAATCACTCATTTGATTAGAAATTTCACATAAAGTTGATTTATGTTATTCATTTAATAAATTAAACTGGTTTATTTATTCATAACATCAAACGCTAGCATATTTATATTATATACAAATTTCTATACATTGAAATCTGAGACGTATAAATATGTTGTTTACTTCTGCTTGCAATTTTCTTATGCATTTGTATCACTGTGCATGACGCTCTGCCAGTTGAAAGAGAGGCGATAAAAGAAAGAGCATAAAAACAACATTTCGTTGCAGCTGACCGTCGTGTATGTGTGTGTGTGTGTGTGTGTGTGTGTTTGTTTGTTGTTGTTACTTCATTTTGTTTTTGTTTTTCTTCTATTTGCTCTGATTCTTATTTTGATAATTGCCTTTTGGGCTGCAGGGGGCCTCTTTGTTTCCAAAAATTATTAGCAGCAGCCACTAAAAATAAAGCAATTGTACAAGATGAGAAAGGAGGAGAAGAGACAAGACAGCGAATGCATTGCTAATGACACAATCATTTTATTTCGTTTGCTTTTGATTTATATTTAACTTTTTTCACACAGTTCAGCGACCATTTTCGTAGCACTCTGTTAATTCATTTTGTTTATGAGTTTGTATGTTTTAATGTTTTTCGTTTTACTTTTTGTTGGTATACAAAATTGCAAAAGCATAAAGATGATGCTGGTACGCTCACTCTAACGCTTGCCTGCGCTTTCCCTTTCTCGTTCTAGCTTGCAGTTTCAGGTTCGAATTGTTTGAAATTTACCGCAAAATGTTTGCCAAATATTTTGTTGTGAGTGCGAATGTTTAGAAATGAAACGAAATCAGTGCAAAACAAGTGAATGAGTGAGTGAGGGGTGTAACAAGAATGAATTACAACAAATATGTAAGTTGGCAACAGCTTTCCATTGGTATTGGTGCGAAGAATACCCATGTATTAGTACAAAGCTCTTGAGCGCATTTCGTATTGTGCTTTCAGTGAATATTCGTGTCTTTCGTACGTGATTTGAAAAGCAATGAAAGCCACATTCTGAACAGAGGGGGGAGGAGGAATAGCAGGAGACGGGTGAATAATGAAAATACAATTTATCAAACAAAATTCCTAATTCAGCAATTTTTATAGATACACACATATGAAATGTGCAAAATTGTATACAAAAATCTTTTGTTGACCTGTTGCTATTTTCTCTCCCTCTCTCTCACACTCTCTCTCTCTCTTTACGTTTTCTTTGCCTTAATTAAGTTAATTAAATAAAAAATATAAATTATAATCAATTTCAATATGCGATTATAAGAAAACCATTCAATTTCTTGCACACTTCAAATTTATTAAAATTTTCTTCAATTATTCCTTTATGGATTAGTTCGTTGAGTTTCCTATGACGCATTCAAAAGCTCTCCTTCACATAATCAACTTCAAAATGCTTATTGTTCAATTAGTGTCCTGTCTCTCTTTCATTTACACGCACTCCCTCTCTATCTCCCCCCACTCTCGCTCTTCAACTTTGATAGCATTTCGTGCGCTTTTGAAATGCTGTATGCATGTACATATACATATTTATAGTAACACCTGTTCATAAATGCTTAGTATGTGTGTGCGTGTTTTTGTGTTGCGTTTTGTTGTGATTTTTCTTTGTCTACCAAAAACGCTTTGCGTGGATTTTGTCAAGTGGCTTTGGCAATGAACAGCATAAACAATAACACACACACAAGCATACGCAGACACATGAGCTTTTTACTGTGCATATTTATGTATGTATGTGTGTATTTGATTTTGCGTGCACAAAGAAATCGAACGAACGGAACCATTGGCTCAACTCGCTGAGTAGCTAGCTTATTAACATTGATACACCAATTTACACACACACAGACGCAGCCAGTTAGTGGCACACAAAGCAAAAAGCTCGCAGACAACGGTCGACATTGGTTGTTGCTTTTATTTTGCTGCCTATGTCAAAACAAAGACAAAGTGCGTTGCGTTCTATGAGCGGGTGGCTGGCTACGCTGAGTCGTGGCGAGAGGTAACTGTTGCTCTTGAATGCAGCTATACACATACCTATGCATATCCCCCACAGCTGCCTCTGTGTGTGTGTGTGTGTGTGTGACATTGCTTTTAGTTGGCATTGCCATTGCTATTGCTATTGTTGTCGCTGATGCGCGTGTGCGCAAGTCAATTAAGGAATGCAACGTTTAGTGCCCAGTGCGCTAGTCTCTCCCTCCTTCTTCACTCTCGCTCTCCCGCTCTCTCTTCCAGCTACTTAAAACACAAAGAGCCACAACACACATATTTAAACTCAAATCAACTTTGCAATGCGTCATGCGCTTTGTAAAAATAGTTTTTCGTTTAACTTTAACCCATACTGTTGTGCGCAATTGTATATCCATTTCAATATCATTCGCTGCATACCCTATAAAATGGGCAGTGTTTGTATGTGTGTGTGTGTGAGCTTAACCTGTTCTAAAAACTGGTTAATTAATTTATTTTAATCAATATGAATTAAATGTATTGTTGTTTTTATATAACAGTAAATATTTCCAGTTAACAAAAAAGAAACAAAAGAGCAATAAATAAATAGCATTGCAAATAAGGTATCTTTAATTCGAGCACGTATTACATTATGTTCGACATCAATTAAATTATTTATTGAATTGCTGGAAATTTCATTACTGGGTCGCAGCTTACACATCTACATATGTACATGTGTGTGTGTATGTATGTAAGTGTATTTAATAGCTATGTGCATATATTATTTCACAATGTTGATCTTTGGCTTGTGGGATTGGCTCTCATACACTACACTTTTTCATATTTATATACCTACATATATATACATACGTCATATTAGCTTATCAAACAATATTTACATACATACACTCTATACATTATATATGTACATATGTATGTACGTACCCCACAGTGTCAGCACTCTGTATATCAAACGCAATTAATACACGTGTGCATCTAAATGGGTTAAATGACTTGCCATGGAATATTTTGTTCGTAACCAAGAACAAAATAACGACTTTATCGGCACGATAAGCTCTAGCAAAGCGATAAGTAAATCACTTCTGAACTGACAACAACAATTTGGCAAATTGTTTACAAATTTTCAAGAAAGCACATATAACCTTTTGCCTATTAAATAGAAAAAAATAAAATAACAATAGAAACAAAAACAAAAATCATCTGTGTGTGACAAACATGCACTTGGCCTGCATATGGGTTAATGGATACTGTTGCTATTTGGGTATTCGCTTCGGACAGCTGTTGCTCGCTGCGTCTCGCTCGCACCGCAAGCTTGGCTTGGCTTTGCGTTTTCGTGTGCCGTTGCTATTGCCGTTTGCTTTTGCTATTGCTTTGTGCTTGTTTCGTTTCTTTTGGTTCCGCTGTTTCTGCTGCTGCTGCTGTGGTCTGATGTTGATAACTACGGCTTGCTTAACGTGCATATGTACTTATGTGTATGTATGTGTGTGTTCATGACACACATATGTACATATATGTATATTACAGCAATAACAACAGCGTAGCACGTTGCAAAAATTTGTTTACGAATTTGCTTGGATTGGCGTTTCTTTATTTAAAGTTGCATTTCATTTATTTATTTATTTATTAGTTTGTTACCTGCACTAGCTGCCATTGACGTTGTTTATTAAAATTAATACATGTGTTCAATTTCATGGCGTTCACTGTAGCCATATATTGGTTTCATTGCACTTAATTTACGCCCCATGGAATTGCTGTCGCCCCCCTGGCATGTGTGTGTGTGTATGCGAGGCAAAAATAAAAAGTTGAAAGAAAAAAGAAACACGTAATGCGCTAATAAAACTTAAAAGGGCTGCGGGGAATGGTGGGTGTGGGTGCTGGGCGTTGGGTGAGAGATGAGGAATGGGGGAGAGCATGGCACACGAGTGTGCAAAGATTAAAAGCGTTTGATTGAGACAAAGCAAAAGCCATATGTACGCAACGAAATGGAATTGAAATATCGGCGAGAGCGATACAAAAACACGAAACGAACGAGAGAGCAAGTGTGTGTGTGTGTGTGTGTGTGTGTGTGTGTGTGTGTGTGTGTGTGTGTGTGCGAGCTGCATTTAGCAAAGTGTGCCAGAGAGAGATGGAGAGTAGCGCTTGCAGTTTGTTTATTTATTTATTTATTTCTCTTTTTTTTGCTTTCTACTTTGCAGTTGACAACAGCTGAGCAGCAACACATACACAGAGACGTGAGCAGAGGCCGCAGCGGCAGCGCAGTCAGCAGACAGGCATATAGACAGACAGCCTGTCTCCGTCTCCGTCACCCATCATCATCGTCATCATCATCATCATCACTATCCTCCAGCTAAGCGAGCGAGCGAGCGACAACGACGCTCTCTCTCTACACTCACGCTCTCGCTTTGATTGAACCAAACAGCTGAGACGGGCGACAGCCGTCGCACACACACCACAACACAGACAATGTCCGCGGATTCGCCGCGCCGCCATCACAGCCATCACCTACATCATCATGCTGCAGGCGGCGGCGGAGGTGGAGGCGGCGGCAGCGGCAACATTGGACTGCGAGGAGGCATGTCCATGCCGGCCGTGGTGCCGCCACAAACAGTCAGCGATCGCTCGATCCTGGACTCGGCCATTGGGTTCATTAACGATGTCACCTTGGTCCATCAGCCGGTGCAGGATCCCAAGGACACAATCACCTGGGCCCGCTTCGAGACGAGCGCTGATGTGAGCGATCCTCGCTTCGGCGACGACTGGGAGCTGGAGGGCAATGCAGCACCACCGCTCCTACTCATTCTCGGCTACGGCCTGGGCGTCCAGGTGTGGGCCATACCTGCCAACGGTGAGGCCGTGGAGGTGTTATCCTGGCGCCATGGCGTCGTCACCGCCCTGCGCGTGCTGCCCACACCGCTGACAGCTGCCACCGGTCTGGATGACAACGGGCGGGCCGACGAGCCCGTGGATGCATTTGCCGACAAGCGACCCTTGCTGGCCTTCGTCGATGGCGGCAGCGCTGCTGCCAACACTATGCTATCTGGTGGCCAATTCTCGGGCGGAGCTGGTGGCAGTGGCTCCTCGGGAATGTCGGGCGGCGGCATGGGCAATCCCTCGCACGCCGGCGCCTCCCACTTCAGTGCCGTCAACTTTGTCTCCCTGAAAACGGGCGTCCAGGTGAAGACCATCAAATTCAAGAATCCCGTGCTGGACATTCAGGCCAATCGCTCAGCGGTCGTCATAAGCTTCCACGAGCGTCTGGCGGTGTTCGATGCGCGCACTCTGGAGGATCGCCTCACTATAACCACCTGCTTTCCCAGTCCGGGGTAAGTGAAAACTATTTTCATGCAAGAATCTCTAAGCTTATGCTCGCTCTCTCCCTCTCTCTCTCTCTCTCTCTCTCTCTCTTGCTCTCCTCTAGTATCAATCCCAATCCCATTGCGCTCGGTCCACGCTGGCTAGCGTATGCGGAGCACAAGTTGCTCCACTCCAAGCGCAGCGGCGGCGGCTGCGATGGCGAGGGCGTCCCCAGCTATACGGCGACGGTGCTGAATGCGGCCAAGTCCTTTGGCAAGGGGCTGCGGGAGCTGGGCGAACAGGTGGCCGCCGGCTTGACCGGCACCAGTGCCGGCAGTGGCAACAGCTCCAAGAGCAGCAGCTTCGACTCGGCCAGCGGCGGCGCCGATGGCAAGCAGTCGGGCGTGGTGACCATTATCGATGTGAAGGTAAAGTGCGAGACAAGACAGACACAGTTCATAGATCCTCTGACCATCTGCTTTTCGCTCTTGCAGCATCCCATCAAGGACTACAGCCCGACGACGGGCACGCCGCTCGGCTCGATGAGCGATCCAATTATTGCCCACTTTGTGGCGCACAGCGAGGCGCTGGTTGCCATGGAATTCGATAGCTCTGGCATGCTGTTGCTAACAGCGGATCGTCGAGGTCACGATTTCCATGTCTTTCGCATCCAGCCCCATCCGGTGGGCTCCAGTCTGGCGGCAGTGCATCATCTGTATGTGCTGCATCGCGGCGACACGAGCGCCAAGGTGCAGCATATTGCCTTCTCGCTGGACTCCCGCTGGGCGGCCGTCTCCACGCTGCGCGGCACCACCCATGTCTTCCCCATAACGCCATACGGCGGCGCCATGGGCGTACGCACCCACACCTCGTTGCATGTGGTCAACAAGCTGTCGCGTTTCCATCGCAGCGCCGGCCTGGGCGCCGACGGGCGCTCCAGCTCGCCCATCTCCCACTCGGAGAGCACCACGTTTGTGCAGTCGCTGCAGCCGTATCACAATCCCACATTGCCGCCCTTTCCACGACCCACGGTGGTTCAGCCGCTGGCGCAGCTGCGTCAGCCATTTGTGCTCGGCTCGCCGCCAGGCAGCGCGACCATGGGCGGCGGTTCGGGCATGGGTGGCGGCGGCTTGGGCGGCGGTGGCGGCGGCTCTGGCATCGGCGGCAGCAGTGGCGGCGGCGTCAGCTCCCATCAGCGTCAACGCCTGTCCTCGCTGTCGGATGACTGCGGCAAGCCGCTGAGCGTCTGTGCCACCTTTGCCAAGTCGCGCTCCTGGCTGCTGGAGCCGCCAACGGCGACGCGCGAGGCACCGCATCGAGTCCAGCGCAAGGCCGTCGATTCGCTATTCGTGATGGCCGGCCACGGAGCGCTCATACAGTACGATCTGGACACGAAGTTAGCCTCAAGTGAGTGATACTCCATGGGAGAAGATATCGAGAATTTGGATTAGCTAAAACTTGCATTCCTTTTTGCAGATGTTGCCAAAGAGAAGATATGTGATGATACGCCCATTGAGCTGGAGGTGGAGGCCAAGGCGCAGTGGAATCTGGGCCGACGCAAGGATGGATCTCATGAAATTATACCACCGCTAGCGCTGGACAATTGGCTGATCAAGGATCGCCATGCCAGCCTCCTCATGGACAGCGCCCATCATTTCGATGAGGCCGACGAGCGGCCCGAGAGCTGGTTGGCTCAAGTCGAAATTATCACCCATGCGGGGCCCCATCGCCGGCTCTGGATGGGGCCGCAGTTCGTATTCAAGAACTACAATACGCCCAGCGGGTAAGAGACGGACGGGACACCTACATATACATAGATAGATATACATAGATAGATAAACTAGAATAGTCTTATTAATCTCTCTTTTTAATCTCGTGCAGCTCCAATTTGAATCACGTGGATGCGGAGGCTGTGGAAATAGGCGTTACCAAGACGACAACCACAACGCTGCCCTCGACATCAGCGGGCTGTGGTGCGTCGGGCGGTGGTGCCATCATTGCCGCCGTCGAGCGTTCCAGTCCATTGAATATGCCGCTAAACGTTGCTGGCGGTGCGATGGGCGGAGCCAGTGTGGGCAGCACCGCACGTGCCGGAGTGCCGGTGCTCATTGAGTCCGGTTCATACAGTAAGTGCTTGAAATACCTGAAGCGAGCGAATAGGGAAAATAACTCGAAATCTTCATCATTTATAAATGCGCCGCTGCAGGCAGCATTGAGCAGAGCCCCAAGCTGATGGATCGCTTTCGACATGGACACTTGGACTCCGACTATGGACACGGCGATATGCGTCTGAAGGAGGATCTGGCCGATGCCATGCGCGAGTCGCCCTCAACGATGGCAGCGCGTCGCGATACCGGTAAGTCTATATAGTAAAAGCAAACTCAGATATTGTGATATACCGATATACATATATATGTATGCTTAAACTGTGCTATCAAGTATATGTACAGTCGAGTCTCGATAACTCAAAAATCGCGATAAATCGACAAAAAATTCTATACTCTTGAAAGAAAAATGTTCTCAATAATTTTCGATAAATTGAATTTCTGTAGAAATCGAAAAAAAAAAACTGATCTTGCTATTACGAATTATCGGGATTCTAAACTATATACATACATATATATTTATATAGAGAGTTAGTGCTCAAATGTGATTGTAAAGATTTCTGTCTTAAGATATCATTCATATATGTAATGAACTATCGAATATATGTATATCACATTTGAGCACTGCACTAAATCGATTACAGTTATCGTTATCGTTTATCGTTAGCTAAGCTTTACCTGTTTCTCAAGTTTTGCCTTTGAGCTAAATTCATTTATTGAATGTTTTGACTATTAATATTATTATCAATTTTATGGTTATTATTATTATTATTGTTCTGGTTATTATTGTGATTATTCATTTTTTGAACGCTTTATGAGAAATGTAAATTTTACAATTGGCAAATTTCTGAATTGAAGCAAACGTAAAAAAAAAAAAAAAAAACACCACGAAATTGGCATTGGTTTCTCCTTCTATTTTTTTCTCTTCTAATTTTGCTGTTGTTTAGTTGTGATTGCCTTTCTATATATACACAGATATACCCCCACATATAGTATATATAGATATATCCCAATTAATGCTACCCGATCAGTCCTATAACCTAATCATATATCATTCTGCTCATCATATCATTCAATCCACATGTGTGCGTGTGTGTGTATGTGTGTGTGTATCCCAAAATCCATAAAGCTATACGCTACAGTGAGCACTCGCTAAGGAAAACTTTTGTAAATTAAAATATTAATTGGATTAGACAATTTTTTTTGTATTTAAAATAATTTTTTACAAAATTTAATTTTAAATTAAATTATCTGCTATACTTATATTTTTTCTGGTGTTTTGCGCAGCTATGGTCACCCTTAAAATTTTGCTTTCAACATTTGCCATTATTATAGACAAAAGAAGAGAAAAAAAAACCTGTTTACATTTTAATAATATAAACTTAATTTAAGCTAATCAAAATTGAAAATTTGTCAACTTTTGCAGACACACACAAACACATACACAAGCACACATACACACAAACACAAGCACACATACACACAGCAATTGGCTTCTATACTATATCTACCAATACACTCTATTTTGCACTATTTCTCTCCGGATTACTTTTCTGTTGTTTAGGACTCTCATTGCCAGAGCCCACTGTAAACTAACGAATGAGAAAGGGAGAGAGAGAAAGAGAGAGAGATAGAGAAAGACACCAACACACAATTGTGCTTCTCTTTCAGCAAGAACTCTATCGTATATCCCGCAGTTCCCCCTTTAAAATGAATATTTCAACAGCAATTGCATATATAAGGATGATATGTGGATATGTATGGATATATATACACATATATCTACCTATATCTATTTAATCTCTATATGCAATTGTGTTCATTAAATCGGTAGTGTACTGTAAAAA